TGATAACGCTAGGCCGCACACGGTTCGACGGACAGCAAGTCTCCTGCAGGAGTTCCGCTGGGAGGTGTTTAATCATTCACCCTACAGCCCGGATCTCGCTCCCAGTGATTTCCATCTTTTCCTACACCTCAAGAAATTCCTGTCCGGTCAGTGTCAGCGTTTTGAGAATGACAGAGAGGCGGAGATGGTTGTCACACAGTGGTTCCAATCCCAGGCGGGCGACTTCTACGACACAGGTATTCAAAAGTTGGTCCCACGGTATGACAAATGTCTCAATTCCGGTGGCGAATATGTTGAAAAATAGCTGGACACTTGCTGTATCTGTTGCAATAAATATTTCCATGAAATTGTGTTTTGTTTCTGTAAACGGCCCCAGGGAAACTTACTTTTGGGACGCGCCTATTAATTTTGTTTTGGAAATCTCAGGGAATGATATCCATTGACTAATTTAAGTTTACGTTAGAGGCTAATATTAAAATTAATCTTATGGAAATTGGTAGTGGAAATGTGAGCTAAACTAGATGGTCTTGATTTATGGTTCAGTAGTGGACTTTTGTGAACTTTATGATATTTGTGTTTGATTCCATGTTATAGTTAGTTTTCCACTGTTTCTCTCATACACAATCGTGAGACTATTAATGAATTTAACAATTTGCCCCTTTGTGGGGGTGAGGTGGAGCAGTAAGAAAAAAATTAACAGTTTTGTTCACTTTTCACTTTTTCAGTATTTTGATTCTTTTGAGCACTGGCTAGTGGTCGTCTAAATATTCATTGAGTATGAAAGTTATTGCATGTGAAAATGGTACCAAGTATTTGGAATTGCTGTATGAAATTCTCTTATTCTTCCAGATGTATGCCAGCCAATAGTGAGGTGCCCCATCTCAACGGTCTTGAACAATAATCTGAGCACTTCTAAAATGGTTGACCCTAAGCTTGGGACATTAAAGCAGGCCGAAACCTTCACATCACAGCGAAAGAAGCAGATTTCTTCAATTAATAAAAAGAAAGGGATTAGGAATAGGATTGGGGTCCGAACTCGTTCCCAAGTCAACAAGCCAAGTAGGCCTCCTGCAGCGAGTGCTACTTGCACTGATGATAGGAGAGGTGATGTCAGGGTGATGTGCTCAAATACAGGGCAACAGTCAACAGATTGTAGCCGTAGTCTTCCTAGTATCATTCTGGAGTCACCACCAGCAAAATTGCCATTAATTACTGCACAAGAAGATGGGGTAACCATATGCAGTGAAGCAGGGCGAGAAAGGTTGCTGGGAGCCCTTAATCTAAAAGAATCAACTGAGAGCTGTTTGAACTCAAAGCCAGCATCAGATGAACTGGATGCAGATGTAAAGAGTAAAAGTAAGATAGAAGCAGACGGAAATAAAAGTATAAAATCTAAAAGTGATTTCATATTGCAAAATGTTGATAAATATCCACCGAGCCCACATCTTATGACACTTGTGAATCTCAGCAAAAATTTTGCCAATACTGGACATTCTATATCAACTCATATTCCTGGCACATCTAATGAAACCACTGGTAAAAAGTGCAGTGAAGACAAATTGACCCAGAAGTCTCGTGAAACCCCACAACCAACAACTTCTCGAGGCAGGGCAGGTACGAATGACAAACGGATGAGTCTCAGTACACCTCGCAGACAACGTCACGTACGGGCACTGGACTTTACAACACCGCCTAAGGCCAGAACTGTCCCTAAACGTTTACAGTCTAAAGGATCTTCTCCTAAAACATCAGAGAAATTAGTTAAGACTTTACGAAGGACGACGAACAGCGGTGTAAGTAAAGTAAGGTCAACTCTTTTTAAATCTCCTCAAAATGAGTCAGAAACTGTTTCAAGTGATGCATCTCCATTCACTACAGTCTCAGCGTTGCCCAATGCATGTTCTGATATTTGTCACAGTATCTTACCACCCATTGCAACACGAAGCCCACTTCCTCAGCTTTGTGGAGGGTGGGACAATGCAGCGGGAGTTGGGCAAATTATTTGTGATGATAGTAGTGTGGTGAGAGAAGAAGCAAGATTAGATGATGCAGTTGGGTCCAGTTTGCCTGTGACAGAAACTCAGGATAAGACAAATCTCTCTGATAAGCAGTCTGAAGTTACAGAAAGGTCAACAAGCCTTCTGAAAAACTGGGAGACTGGACATAAAGTGACTCCTAAACTTGCAGAAGGAAGTTTGATGAGCAACAAGAACTTGCCACGTACAAAAAAGGCGTGGGATTCTGATCTTCGAGTACATGTGAATGTTCACCGTGAAGAATCCCAGCTACCAACAAATGATAAAAAGAAAACGAAAAAGGAAAAGGAATCAAAACCAACAAAATCAAAGAGAAAATCCTCACAGGAGGCCAAAAAGGAAGTTAGTAGGCTAGAAGAGCATCTGAACAAAAATGAGAGCATGGACAATGGAAATAAAAATACAGATCCAGAAAATACAAATCGGGTATCTGAAAATATGCCTTCAAGTTCAGATATCTCTGTAAGGATATCACCTAATGATTCTGAGGAAACAGATCTTGGCAGCGAAGCCAAAAATCAGAAGAGAGACTTAAATACTGCAGGTACTGTTCGAGTTACAGGGAAGTCTTATCCGCCAAGGAAAGGTGTTGAGCTAATAAGTGAATCAATTGAGAAACTGTCAATAAAGCCCAAGACATTTGTTGCACTAGACACATTGACTGAAAGAAAGGATCTTGATCAGCTCATTGGTGAGGCAGACAACCAAGGTACCAGCGACCGGATCGAAGCTGTCAAGGAGGATACAAAGATACAAAGAAAAGAGAATTTGGCACTTGAAACTGCAGATAGTAATGAAGTTGACCTTTCTAAATCTTCGGATTCATCTACCACGGAAACTGTAAGTCCTAATACATCAGTTGGGCCAGTTCTTAACGTAGCCTGTAGTTCCATAATTATCCAGTCACCAACAAAGCTGAAAGGTGCAGAGGGAAGAATAGTTCATCGAAATTTGCATGTGCACCAATCGCCAAATGTCGTTGATAATGAGACACTTGTGATCCATACTGATGATACCAGTTCGGTTACTGATACATTCAAGACAGGCTGTGAATTGAAAGGCAACACAGTTACTGGTGAAAGTGCAGCTGAAGATCAGTGTGTTCCTGTCTTAGAAAATCAGGAGCTTGTTCCCCCAACATCTGAGTTTTGTCCTTCAGACTCCCAGAAAGAAGATATCCAAATGTCTCAGAATTGCAAATCCAGTTCCAGTAAAGAACCATCTTTTGCCAGTGTACCAGATAATGCTTCATTAAAAAAGTTAAGGACACAGACAGAAGCGTGTGATACAGCAAATAGATCAGATGCACAACCAAAGTCAGTTACTGATTTTGTTCTAGATACTCCAAGAAAGACAGATGACCCTGGTTCAACATGCTGGGGTTCTGATTTTGTGTTCATACCTCTAACACCCCGCATGATGAGCCCATATCCAGATGATACTCCAGTTACAAAGTTGGCAGATGGAAATTCTTGTATAGATTTTTCTTTAATACAAACTCCCAGTTTTCCACCCACACCCAACATTGCAGTGACACCTCAGCTATATAATACAAGTCCAGATACTCCTTCATCTTATGCAAGAAGGTCAACAGACCGTTCTTCATGCTCACCATATTACAAGCCAACTGGAAAACTGGACTCCGCAGCTTTGTCAAAGCCACTGGAACAGTTGTTGGTAGAGGAATGCAGAAAATTAGAAAACAGCACTGTACGGTCTTCAGATGGTTATAACAAATGCCATAAGGAAGATGGTGGAGAGAATGCTCAGCCTGATAGTGGACAGGGCCAACCATTACCTGTTCCAGATAAAAGTCTTGAAAAAGCAACATCATTATTGCCAGATCATGTGACTAATGTTCAGGTCAAAGCATACGTTGGAAAGAAGCTTGTGTCAGGTAAAACAGGCGAAGGACGAGTAGATTCCTTAGTTGGTGCACCTACTAAGGCACCTTCACCAGAGAAGCAAAAGCAGGCAAAGGAGATGACGCAGAAAAGAGGTACAAGGGATCGTGGAAATACTGCCAAGTCAGACCATACAAACATTAAAGCAAGGGGGAAGGTGAGGTCTCTTTCAAGGACTTCTAACAAAGGCAATGCTGTGGAGGTTAAGCCATCAGAAACATGCTCCTCAGCAAGGAGGAAAGCAAGTTCTGTTTCAAGGGCTGCTGACAGAAGCAGTGATCATGACGATGAGTCAATGAGAGCACAAATCTCTGCTTCAGGTTCAGCAAAGAAAAAATCGAAGTCCATTTCGAAGACTGCCAAAAAAAGTAGTGACTTCATTTTTAAGTCATCAGAAACACATACCTCAACTTCAGTCTCAATGAAGAATGTGAGGACTGCTAATAAAAGTAATGACTTGAAGGAGGAGTCATCAGAAACACGTGCCCCAGATTTGATCACAAGAAAGGAGAAGGCAAGGTCCATTTCAAGAGCTGCTAACAAAGACTCTGACTTGAAGGATGAGCTGTCAGAAACTCAAATTAATCCATTTAAGAGACATGATGAAAAGACTACAGATGAAATTATCCAAAGGCACCTTGAGGCTGCTCGGATGAAGCTCTTTGGTTATAATTCACCAAGTGATGACTCTGACTTTGAATCCAGCAATGATTTTGGACAAACTGAAGCTGAGACCAAGACAATACCATCTAATGTTTGGAATAAAACATGTACAGAACTTACAAAAGCAAAACAGTCGGTTGCAGTAACTCAGCCCTCTAAGTTCTATAGTTCCTACTCAGAAAGCAGTAAGACAAACACACAGCAAACAGTGGAACCTCAGACTCGGGCTGATGAGGTAAGACCCGTGAGTGGGTTGTCTTTAATGAAGGAGAATTCCCAACGTGTGCCAACTTCAACTTATGAGTCAGAATTAAGAAAGACGCATGCCGATGAGAATGTGAACTGTGTAACACCCATCTTTCATTCAGAGATACCAAGATTTAAGATTTTCTCTGAATGTAACCAGTCTACAGATGCCATGAAAAAGTCATCTGTACACATTGTAGATGATGATGATTCGGTGGGGGCAAAATCACATAACTCTCATTCAGCGAGGAACACAACATTGAACAGTGAACATGAAAAGAAACATCACATTGAAAAATCGGAGGGGCTAGATGTTAGTAGTGTGCCTAACTGTGAGGTTAAAATGCCTGAAGAAGGACATGGGGAAATATTATCTGTGAAAGCTGTCCTCAATGAACTGATACCAGATGTGTCCATGGGGAATAATCCTATGTGTGATGTCCAGGATGTGGATGCCAGAAAACAATTGATAGAGAAGGAAAACATCTTTACTAAGACTGCCCAAACTACCCCCACAGAGGTTATCAGAGGGAACTGTGGTGAGTGCACACCACCAAAGAGAAGTCCACACTTGTCTGTGGAAGCTATTGCAGACAGACTGACAAGGGATAAGGTAGCAATCCAGGCCCATCCCATGAAACAGACTCCAGTCTGCCAATCTATGACCTACGAAGACAGTAGCTCTGAGGATTTTCCAGCTTTGCATCTCAGTTCAGATGATGATACACAGTCTGAATGCATCACTTTCTTTCAAGTGGAGTCTGAAATGGCAAAAATGCATGGGGTGGAAGAGGCCACAGCAGATGTTTCAACTGTCAGGTCATCACTGAGCACTACCGAAGATGTATGCAAGGATTTGGAACTGACACCTAACAGATTCAATGGCGTGGAATCAAATTGCAGCTTGTTACACACAGGTGTTGGATATGAGAGTGGGAGGCAGGAACAATCAAATACCAGCAAATGCAAAGGAGAGGTATCACATACAGTTGATGGTAAAACTTTGAAAAAGAAAATGAGTGCAACTTTAAGACAAGAAAGTACCAATCGGAAGATAAAGGCTTTACTGGGTGATGATGTAAGTCCCATAAGGAATCAAAGTGAAGTGATAGAAGTGTACAAGGATGTGAAGGGTGGAATTTTACATAAACTCTTCACTGTTACGAACAAACATGATTCGCCAGTTAAAAATACTCTGGAAATTAAGCCAAAGAAAGAGAAACAGAAAGATCGGTCAGAGATAAGTATGGAAGTAGAAAAGGTACAAGAAAATGAAGTTTCAGTAGAGCCAAATATAGCATGTGAATCAAACAAAATGAAAACCACCAAATCACATGAAACTTCAGTCATTGAATTGAATGAGGCAGTAGATAGTAAGGCTACTGCACATACACACAGTGTGGATTCCAGTATTGAGGGAGTGTCATCACTTGACAAAAGCATGATTTTTGAACAGCATCAAGTGTCTGATAATGAGACATACATAGGAATCGTGTATGCAGGTGAAGGGCCCAAAGGAAATAATCTTGTATTTGAGGACATCTCCAATTTTTCACTCGCTTTTGAATTAGGTGAGGATTCTGATGGAGCAGTGAAAACTTATAAGTGTATAGTCTCAGAATTCCAGGAATTATTTTGTGCCTTACCCAAACAATGCACCAGGGAGTCAAATTCTTTTGAAGGTGGCCAGACTGATATCACAAGGAAGAGCTGGTCCAGTAATTGTAAGAAATATAAGAACTCTGACTGTGTTAAAAGTAACAAAGATAGTCACAAAGAATTGTTCCACAAATCTACGAATGATAGACTGTACTCAAGGGAGCACAGAACAAGATCACGCTCCCCAACCATCAGAAGAAGTACCCACTTTTCACATGACAGAAGGAGAACTTCACATGTACACAGAAGATCTCCATCCCCAGTTCGCAGGAGACGGTCATTGTCTCATAACTGTGGAAGAAGGTCTCAGTCTTTGGATCACAGAAGATCATCATCATCATCATCGTCTCCAGTAACATCTACACCTAAAATGAAGACATTTTCACCGTTGACTGAGCTCTATAATGACTACTTGAGAGACGAGAGAAAGTTTGGTCCTAGTTACAGTAAAAGAGTTCGGGATTTCAGTTTTAGGAGCAATGAAAGACTTCCGTTTGGACAGAGGGGCAGGGGAAAAATGAAGTATGATAGGCATATTCATTCTAAGAGAACTTCCAGAGAATCTAGTCGTACTTCAGCATCACCTCGTGGAGTATCTGATTCTCATAGCAGAATGCTGGATCTTGTCAAAGAACGTGGACCTTCAACTGAGAAGAGGTTCACACAGGAAGTGAGAGCCACAGAAACACGCGTCGGAAGAGGCTTGGATGACACAGCTTTGTTGGCCAGAAGACTTTCAGCTGCTGAAGACATGGACAAGGTGCCTGCTAGAGCAGAGACACAAATTAAAGATGTTACAGAAGGAAGGCAAAAGGTGCAGGACACTCTTGAGCTTTTAGAGGAGGGAGAATTGGTAGATGATGATTCACTCCAGGCTCCTAACAAGTACAAATGTAATGATAAACGGGTATTGTGGCCCCAGAAGTATCCATCATCAGGTAACTATAGCAAACATTTGATATAAATAAGCTAGTAACTTTCACAGTCATGTATTTGGGTCATGCAGAAAAATGCGTGCATCAAATACATGTAACTTCAGTCTTGTCTCGAGAAATGTCAAACTACAACAAGAGATTATAATATTGCATTGATATTAATATTCTGTTAACCAGGTGACTACTGGCCAACAAACAATTGCTTGACATATTTTTTATGACTAATAATGAAAGTGTTAAGGTAGCTGGTGTATTGAATCTGTAATGCCTGCTCAGTTTTTATGGAAATACTTCTGTGTGCTCATTTTTAGTGGCTGGAAATTTTTAAATATCTGAGCTTTGAGTTATTCATTTTGTTTACATGTCCTAATGAAGGTGTGGATTGAGTTACATAATTAATAAAATGTGCTATTGAGTTCTACAAATTTTGTTTTGGACATTAAATGAAATTGGTATGGCATAGCATCTGTCTGTCTGATTTGCCTGTAATTAACTCTTGGCTCAGTCTCACTTGGAACTGATAGTTATTCTGATGATAGGGAAATTACCTGTGAGATTTCAAGTTCTCATGGTGACAAGTATGAGTATGGCTGTCTTCTGGGATGTTGCATATTGTAGTCTAGTACAAAAAACCTATGTTTCAGAGGAGCTTAATGCCTTCATCAACAGGGCAGTTACCCTGAAAACAGCCGTCTCCAGCAAATTACTTGTTTTTAATGAGCTCAGTCAGTATAGTGACTGGATGACCGAGGTTTGATCCCTGATGGGGGCAGATGATTTTTTCCTCTAGCCTCTGCATCCAGACTGGTTCTGGGTCCCACCCAGCCTCCTTTCCAATGGGTACCAGAGTCCTTTCCTGGGCGTAAAGCACGGCCAGAGCGTGATGCTGACCACTCACCCCCATTCAGTGCCAAGGTCAAGAATGAGTAGGAGCTGTACCTCCTCTCCCCCCAAGCGCCTACATGACATATAGTGGGACAGTTTTACATGTTTTTTATGGACCTTATAACTGGACCTGCCCTTGGTTAAAATTCTGATGACTTTTATAAAGAGCAAGTTGATTGGTGGGTGACCTTATGAGAGACAACCATTAAGACTCATAAGGGGGCCTTCCAAACTGAGGGAAACAAGATGTTAACAGGGAAGTTTCTCTTTCAGATTTTTTAATGAATAAAAGAACAAAAAAAGGCCTGTTAGCCAGCCTATGTGTATTATTGAGATTCAAAATGGAATTAAAACTTTTGTGTTATTGTGAGGGAGGATTGAATATCAGCCTATGGAACACATCCATCATCAGGGTGATGATGGAGGCAGCAAGGACCTCTGAAACATTGGTAAACTTCTACCAGACTGCATGGTGCTACAATTCAATCCTGCACAGGTTATATGTTGCACATGCCAGTTCTAACATCCTGGTTTCTATGCTGAGGTCTCTAGTTGTCTCATTCTTTGAGGGTTTCCAATCAAAATGCTTTTCTGAGTTTTGTACATGCTACATGAACTGCTAGTCTCTTTGTTGAGTTCATGTTAGGTTTAGAGTATAAATTTTGAAGCACCCTGTTGTCATATTCTTTTATCTGATATATATGACTTGGATTTTATTAAGAAATATATTATTAAACTTTTTCTCATACATGAAGAACTGACAGCAAGGTTCGTGTTTTGCAACTTTGTAACAGTTTTAATATTGTTTTTCTATTTCTGTCTTGTTTCAAGCGGCTTATGATGATGAACATGTGACACGTGGACTAGTAGGAAGAGTTCGAGCTGAGAACTTCAGTGAAAATTCTTCCTCTGTTTTAAAAGTAGGCACACGTGCTAACAGCATCACTTCAGACCTGTCACTTGAGCACAGCAAGTGAGTTTTTATTGAAGTTGAGTTACACATCCTGCCCAAATTCCTAATAAAGCAAAACCCTGAAACCCTCTTTAGACAGTAAATTCATATTCACCTATTCCATGCTTATTATATTCTTTTCTTCCATATCTTTTCCATATCAAGATTAGTCTCACCTGGTCCCATGAAAGTCATAGTAACAGATTCTTCTGAAATGCATAATATATTTCAGCGTTGTAAGGTTATATTCAGATGTTAAAAAATAATTTTAAAGAATATATTTGGTATGACACATCAAACTGATTTTTAAATGGCAAAAGTAATAAAATGTTAAGATAAAAAGTTCTAAAAATTATGTGTGTACTGATATATGATCTGAAACTTTCATGGCTGCTGAGTATAATGAATTATTCTCAGTCATTGCCCCGAGGACAAGGATGAAGATCGTTCTCTAAACGTTTGTGTTTCCTCCATTAAACCACCTTACACGGCTGGTAGCCTGAGAAGAATTCATTATACGCAGGGCATTTTGTGCACACACACACTTGCTCCATCGCCCCTGCCATTGTTGGAAGCACCGGCGGAAGGCTTCGTTTGGAATCTTCCGGAGTTCGGCCATCGCATTTGACACATCGCTGGTTGTGCAGCAATTCCTCGCCGAGAAAAGCATTCCCGTCATCACCCACCCACCATACTGTCCGGATATCACTCCGAGTGACTTCTGGCTGTTCCCTACTCTGAAAATGGGCGTCAAGGGGTCGCGTTTCGCAACCATGGAGGACATCAAATCAAATGCGACGGCCGAACTCCGGAAGATTCCAAACGAAGCCTTCCGCCGGTGCTTCCAACAATGGCAGGATTGATGGAGCAAGTGTGTGTGTGCGCAAGGGTCCTACTTTTAAGGTGATTAGGTAAGCGTTGCCATATGTCCTACCATTACAGTGCTATACCACAATTCCGGGAACGTTTTGACTGCCCCTCGTATGTGTACTGATAATTGGAGAAATGGAGTTGAAAGTTTGATACCCTTTTACACTTTCATTAATACAGTAGTGTTTTACATGTGATTATTGCATTCAGTTTAATCATACCATTGTTTCTTTCCAGTGTCAAAGTCCTTCAATCTGTAGATGTGCCTGTTTTATTGCTTATTTTATTTTGTTTTTTTAACTTCTGTCATACAGGAATAGCATATTTAAATGCCTTTGTACAGGTTGTTGGCAGTTGTAATTCTGGACGTAATGGGTTTAGCGGTATGTTGCGTGACATATGGTCAGCTGGATCACGTGTACGCCATGATACACAAAGAATAAAGGTTAATATGCCCTTTAAAAAAGAGAATGTGTATCATTGTTCCTTATATCTCAACAGGTCAGTTGAAGACAAACCTTCACAGGAAACAGAAAATACACAAAAAATATTCCAGAAAGAAGCAAGTTTTGCAGGCCCTTCTAGTGGTAGAGCTCTTCCTCCAAAGAAAAGAAAGGCTTCATCAGAAGAGCTGCTGGTACCGGTAAGATGAACCGTGCTTCCTTATTTACTTACAAACTAGTCAGTCCATTTTTTCAGTCCTTGGCTTGGATTTTGGTCTCATTCCATCTTATCCGTTTCCTCCATTCCTGTGTGGGTTTTTTTCCTAGGCCTTTTTCTTATTGTCTCGGCTATGGTAATTTTTTAGTTTCTTCACTTTTCATCAGTTACACATGTCTACAGTATTTGAGCTATTTATTTTAGTGGTTTAGCATGTAAAATAATTCTCTCCATTTTATTAAACTTGTTTTCTGTGTTTGTGGGGTCTTTATATTCAAATTCAAACAGATATAAGCTCAATATAAACTGAAGGAATGGAATTATCCTGTTAAATCTTATGGCTATAAACAACTTGGCAGAGTAAAGCTGTATGAATATATATTGTATTTACCCAAACCAGTGCAACCTCACATTTATATCATCATATTCAGAGTCGTAATACATTTACAAAAACATTACTTTTATTAACAGAAAGTTATAATTTTCTTTTTGACTTTATAAAATTCACATTTTGTAACTACTGTATGTGTAGAATATAAAATAAGCAAACAAACAAACTATTAGACACTATAAAAACACTAATAGTTTGTTTGTTTGCTGATTTTATATTCTAATACACTACATGGTATACAAAGTTTTAAGATGTATGTGTAAAGTCAGAATCCCAACAGACAGTCATCTTCATACTTGCAACAGTAAGAAAACGAAATCTCATCTACATAGTTGTTCATTTTTTATGATTAATTACCGCCACTTTAAAAATAGACCAGACTGTAGTTGGTTGGCACAGTTACACCATCAGGAAAGTCCAAGATAGACAGGAGGGTTTGCAATTGAATGGGACACATCAGCTTTTGGCATATGCTGATGATGAACAAAGAGGAACGCAGAAGTTTTACTAGAGGCTAGTAGACAAGTGGGGCTAGAAGTAAATTCAGAAAAAACTAAGTACATGTTAGTATCTCGTCATCAGAAGACAGGTGGGCAAAATTATCTTAGGGTAGCTAATAAGTCCTTTGAAGGGTGCGAAACATGGTCTCTCACTCAGAGGGAGGAACACAGATTGCAGGTGTTTGAGAATAGGGTGTTGAGGAGGATATTTGGGCCTAGGAGAGAAGACGATGGGGCGTGGAGAAAACTGCATAATGATGAGCTAAAAAATCTGTACTCCTCCCCCAGTATTGTCAGGGTGATTAAGTCGAGAAGAATGAGATGGGCGGGTTATGTAGCGCGCATGGATGGGTCAAGAGGTGTGCACCGGGTACTGGTTGGAAAGCCTGAGGGGAAGAGATCGCTGGGGAGACCTAGACGTAGATGAAAGGATATTATCAAGCGGGATCTATGGGAGATAGGCGACTGGATTTTATTGACCCAGGACAGGGTCCGGTGGAGGGCTTTGGTTAATTCCGTGATGAACCTTCGGGTTCCATAAGCCATCTAGTTAGTTAGTGGAGAATTAAAAGGAAATAAATAGTGGTACCAATGACTTCAAAATATCTCAGATGAAGTGTCAAAATTTGTTACCTGAACTGACAGGATGATACTAGAAGCATTCCCTTCCTTGTGGAATATGAATGACAAGCTAAGATACATGTAGGAGTGGAAATGTATAGATCAATTTGGAATGCCCCTTTTTTCAAGTGTTTTATTTGATACTTTGATTACTTACTCAGTTATTCATACTGGTCGTTGCCGAGCATATCAGTTGTTGACATTGGTAATCATAATAGGAGACACTGCATAGTCCTGAATTACTTTTATTTATTTTTTCTAATTATCTTTTTATTTTCTATATTGTATGTCAAACTGATTATGATATGAAATATAGTAAAACCTTATATTATATGAATCAGTTATCTTTTAAATTCAGTTTTTGAGAAGTTATTAAAGTTTGATTAAAGCTTCTATGGGTGATGTGTTGTAGTGGGCCAGTATGGATAACAATTAAATCCATGTTACAGCTTTTGGTGTAAACCTGCTTATCAAATTTGATGAGAATCTGTTGAAATAAAATATCAATGGATATACTTCCAGTGTAAATGATTTGGTATGGCTAGTAGTGCACTGCACTATTTGTTAGACCACTGAATTGGCAGAAATATTAAAGAGGTGTTTTACTTTATTGCCATTCTGCATGACTTGACTTTTGGACCATGATTTGCCACTGCTGACTTTCTCATTATGTGCTCATTTCATGCATTTTTTCATACATTTCAGTTTAGATATTTGTTCTGTTAGATATGAAAGAGCACAATGTTGGTTGTGGGCTGTTACAGGTGGGGAAACGAATACGGACAGATGGCCCACAGGCTCTGCTCAAAAAGGTGGACTTGGATCACTTACTAGATTTTGTTCATGGTGAAAAGCCTGGGTAGAGCTATCACATGACAGTTGCAACAGTGGGCATTGGCATGCCATTGAAAGGTCTTGTATTGTATTTTTATATGTAAAATATTGTCCAGCAATACATTTTCCACATAGTTCCCCTGACTTATAATCTCAAATAACACTTATTTCAGTGTATAGCAGAATTTTCAAATGAAAGTTACAATTACACAGGCACATATGAAAATGAAACATGTTTTTTTGAATGATGCATTGTTTTGAAATTATCAAAGTTACTTTCCTTTTTGTTAATGAAGCTTTACAAATTTTCTGTAAGAGAATTCCAATCAACACCATGTACTTCAGAAAATGTTCAGTGATGCTTGTCTCTGTATTTGGATTAAATTTATCTTGGTAAATGCTTCTTTTCACCTTGTTTTGCTACTTTTGACTCAGAACTGTTGAATAAAACACATTTTCATATCTTTGTAACTTATTAATGTGCTGGATGTCATGACGAGCTTAGTTTTTGCTAGTGAATTCTTAATGAACCTTATTGTGATCACCGGCTGCAAGGATTTAGGTACAGATTTAGGCAAAAAAGTGTTCTTCTAATGGAAAAATATGTTGCATCAGGTTCTGCTTTGGCGATTGCATTTTTCTGGCCCAGGACAGGGACCGGTGGAGGGCCTTTGGTTAATTCAGTGATGAACCTTCGGGTTCTCTAAGCCGTCTAGTTAGTTAGGTTCTGCTTAAAGCTCTGGTGAAACAAGGACGAAGTTAGTTTGGAGTCACTCAAGCAATTTTGTCTACTACTGCAATGTATGAGGGTGTTTCAAAAAGTAACAGCAAATTAAATATTTTGAGATATATAATTTAATTAGAGATACAAATGATATGTCATTTTTCTACATAATCACCCTCCTTTTCAATACACTTCTCACACCGTTACACCAACTTCTTTATTCCATCAGAAAAAATGTTTTTGGTTCTGCCTTCAGCCAGGAATGCACCGCTTCTTTGACCTCGTCATCATTCCCAAATCTTCGTCCTCTCAAAGTGTTCTTCAGCGGTCCAAACACATGATAATCAGAGGGAGCAAGGTCAGGACTGTATGGGGGATGCTGTAAGATCTGAAATCTCAATCTCCGAATGGTGTCAAGAGTTGCAGCAGCCGTGTGAGGGCATGCATTATCATGGACGACTGGAGCGTTGGCCATCACGGATTGATGTTCGCCCATTTTTAAACTCATCTACCCACTCATACACTCTTCTCTCGCCAATGCAGGCATCTCCATACTGTTGCAGCATTCTTCTATGAATTTCACGAGGTTTCACACCCTCCGACCACAAAAATCTGATGATTGCTCGCTGCTCCTCTATGGTGGAAACAGCTAAGGGCGCCACCATTTTATATATTCATTCATTCCAATTAAGCACAACATGCCATCTATTGGGCGGTGTCAAAACCTTCTCTAAGAATGTGTCTTCCCTGCGCGGGAGTTTGAAATGCCTGGGGTATTCGTTTCGTGAAATATTGTCAATTTGCTGTTACTTTTTGAAACACCCTCGTATTTAGCCACTGAGCAAATCCTTCACTACTGATTCATTTGAACCACATGCATTATTAGTATGAATTACTCTGTACTCATCTATACTAACATGCCTTACAGAGTTAAGGGTTAGACTGCCATTCACATTGCATTTGGTTAGCGGTACTGAACTCTTGTCACTAACAGCTGACTGGCTGTCCCTAGGCCTAATACTTGTAACCATCTGAATTTTGATGTTATTCACTCAAATATTTATAAACTCTATATGTGAACTGATATGGGCTACTCTGGATTGAATTTTAGAATCGACTTTTCTCAAGCTGTACTGCATATTGCCATTCTTTTCATTTAATTCACGTTTAATTTTGTTTAGAAACCACATATCTAGCTTGATCTAAGTCATTCCTTTTTCAGGCTTCTACCTGACTCTGAAATGACTTTTGTGATTTTCTAGTTCCACCTACATGAGTTTTTAATTTATTGTCAAGTGTCTCCAATGCTACTTTAACCCTGGATTACGCTGATTTTATCTCTTGTCTAGTTTCTTTTCTAAGATATTTGAAACACCTTAGATAATTTAATGCATTCAGATTGTAACTGCTGTGACAGCTCTTGGTCTGCCAGTTCCAACGGAATAGATGTCTCCTCTCTTTTTTACCTTAAGACAGAATGATCCATCCTTTGAAGCATAGTGATTTTTAAGACTTGTGAAAAAGCAGATGATCGATAAAGTCAAACAAAGAAGTAGTAATACGAGAACATCACTTAAGACATTCAGGAAAGAATGTATTGTTTTCAGTTTGTGTGATATTAACATGTTTCTTCTGTAGTTTTTTTTTTATATTTTTAAACATAATAGTTAATTGAATAAAAATTTTCTTGGATATTATCCATCGTCTAGTAAATATAAAACGTAAAACAACGTTTTGGAGATGGGACTCTAGAGATATGTTAGAGATATGTTTGACCACTACCTACTTTCAATTTGAAGATAAATTCTATCAACAAAAGGAGGGAATGGCGATGGGGAATTCGTTGTTGCCTGTCGTTAGTAATATTTATATAGTATTTTGAAACTTTGGCTTTAGACACAACTGATCACAAACCAGCCACTTGGTTGAGATATGTGGATGATACATTTGTGGTTTGGCCACATGGTCCAGCGAGATTGCAGGAATTCTTTCACCATCTTAACAGTCTCAGATCGTCAATACAATTCACCATGGAGATGGAAAACAATGGTACTATTCCGTTCCTGGATGTTTTAGTCATGAAGAATGGTTTTAGTTTACTTACGGATGTTTATAGGAAACCCACACATACTGACAGGGCCTGCTGGAGAAATCCAGATTGGCCCAACATGCGTACGAAGAAGATCATCATGTCTGTTGGGATGGAGCCAGAGTATTTTTAACAGAACCCAATACCATCTACAGAAAATACAAGGAGGCGGCACACATGGCACTACTCGCCAACCCTATCAGCCAGCCTAGTTTGGATTTATCTCCTATTTGGATACCTGTAATCTCCGAAGAAATCCAAGTTGGGCATCGAGTTTCGAGCTGATATTCATGTGTATTTCTTCCCACCTTTTGTGAGTTAGTTAGTTAGTTAGTTTTTTTTTTTTTTCGTGTTCATGAATTTTGATTTCTACATACTATTCTTTTACGTCCCACGGATGGATGGCGTGGTATTGCCTTTTTATTCTGGGACTTTCACTTTTTACTTTGTCCGGAGATAGGGATTAGCTCTATCTAGTGGGCCCAACTGTGTTGGAACCTGAAGATGGAGATAGAGTCCCATCTCCGAAACGTCGTTTTACATTTTATATTTACTAGGGGATGGATAATATCCAAGAAAATTTTTATTCAATTGACTCTTCACCATCGTCAAGAAGTTTTAGATTTGATATAATAGTTAATTTTGCATTTTCTGCATATTAATTAGCTTGTGATGATAAGATACTTGTCAAGACATTTTTTATGACTTTTAATTTAAGAGTGAAGACTCGGCTGCATTCAAACTACGACCACTTTGATGAAGGCAACTTACTGCTTGGTCTTTTATCCCTCCCTGTTACTTTCTGCAATAATCATTTTATATTTACTAGGGGATGGATAATATCCAAGAAAATTTTTATTCAATTGACTCTTCACCATCGTCAAGAAGTTTTAGATTTGATATAATAGTTAATTTTGCATTTTCTGCATATTAATTAGCTTGTGATGATAAGATACTTGTCAAGACATTTTTTATGACTTTTAATTTAAGAGTGAAGACTCGGCTGCATTCAAACTACGACCACTTTGATGAAGGCAACTTACTGCTTGGTCTTTTATCCCTCCCTGTTACTTTCTGCAATAATCACTTCAACTGTCTCATTATTGAGAGATTGGTTTTCAGGATTTTGTAGTCTTGCAATATTTCAGCGCTGTCATTATGTTCTGTTTTATTTTAACTCGATGCTGCAGCTCCAAAAGTCCTTGAAATTAGCAATGCCATTAATTTACATACAGATTGTTTGCAGACAATGTTGATTTACATTGATATCCCACTTTAGCTGATTTTGTAGGATGTTGAATGTCTGGTGAAGTCCTGAGGTTGGTGATGATTGGTTGTTTTGCCAGAGAGGTGATGAGTGATATGTCCAAGGCAGCTGGCGCTGTCCTTGGTTACTTAGTTGTACATCGTTGAACTCATCTCCAGTTTGACTATTCATTAGAAAAACAAGGTAACCTTGACCATTTCAGAATAATGCATCTAAAGAAACAGGTTTTTCTTTTATATGCCCCTTTGACAGTGCATAACTTTTGTTTGAGACTTTCTTTCTTTTATGTTTAAATAAGAGATTTGAGGTCATAAAGTTAGGTTGTGGAGTGTTTACTTGGCTGTGTTTGATATTGTTAGTGTTCAGAGAATTCCCCAGTGTTATTGTATATAAAATGTAATATTGATAGTCATTGGTAAGTACCATTCAAACATTTTATTGAAATGTATATTAAATTATTCTTCAGTATTTGTAGGTTTAGTAATAATATGATACATTTTTATAGTATGATGTGATTTTATTTTTCCTTTGCTTATGCAATCAGATATGTAATTATTTCCACTTCTAAACTTTAGACAAGATGGGGCATAGCAATCTTGGTTGCCGTTTATATGCCAGTCGAATAAATGTGTTTCTGTGTTGAAATTGTCTCCTTTTCAGCTCTCAGCGCTTTTTAATTAGCCCAGATTTTATGTATTTTGATTGATTTATATTAATATTTCTAACTAACTCCCTGATGGCAGAACGTGCAGGTCCAACACCAAAGCCTGCCACCGGTCTCGATCCTGAGCCAGCTCCATCCATTTACCATGCTCACAGCCCACCTCCCTAAGATCCATCTTAATATTATCCTCCCATATCCTTCTTGGTCTGCCCAGCAGTCGTTTTCCACAAAGATTTATCATCAAAATTCTGTATGCATTCCTTGTCCCCCATGCGTGTAACATGTCCGGCCCAACAGAGCCTCCTAGATTTCTCTATCCTCACTGTGCTGTGTGACCTGTACAATTTACGCAGTTCCTCGTTATGCAATATTCTAAATTCCTCACTTATTTCATCCTTCCTAGGTCCAGATATTTTCCTGAGCACCTTATTTCAAACACTTGTAATCTACATTTTTCCTTCAAGGTAAGAGACCACGTTTCCCAGCCATACAAGACAACAGGCAAAGTTAGTGTTTTATATATTGATCTTTAGTGTTCTGTATGTAAAATCATGCATACAAACAAAACTGTTTGCACTTTGAAAAGACTGTTAGTGCTAAACGCGTTTTGACCTCAAGAGGTCATCATCAGTGGCAAACAAATTAATTCATATTAAATCTGGATAGCAAATGAGATAATAACAGTTTTTGAATTGAATAAAAACAAGCGTTTCCCAAATGTATTCTACTCTTAATTTCATCATGGACCTCATTTCTATTTGTTATTGTTGTTCCCAGATACTTCAATTTTGAAACATTTTTCAAATGATGTGTATGATTATGTCCCGCTGTTATGGTTGATGTTGATCTCGCATTACGCCCATGTATTTAGTTTTGTCTACATTTACTTCTAGGCCTATTTCCTTACTAGTCTATAGGAGAGTTTCTGCATTCTTGGTTATGACACCCACACCATCCCCCAGCGAATTTACGTCATCAGCACAGGCAAGTACCTGGTGCAAACCATTCAATTTGAGCCCTTCCTGATTCCCTCTGACTATCCTGATGACATGTTCTAGAGCAAAATTAAAAAGCTACGGCAAAGAGCATCCCCCATTGTGCACTTGGAACAGATCTGACAAGTTACCCATATAAACTCTTACTAGATACCCCATCAGTACACATGTTAATTAACCTAACGAGATTCTTTGGTATTCCAAACTCAACCAAAATGCCATACAGTATGACTTCTGCTTCCAAAAATGGAGAAAGGTTACTTCACCTGCATTAAAATTATGAATGTTGCAAGTCTTAGCAATACCTCCAGCAATGAAATTGTAGCTAGGTGAAAGGTGATCTTTAGACAGCTGCCTCAGTACTAGTTTTTCACCACTAGATTTGCAGACTTATATAATTTAATCTTCTTGGGCTACCAGCCTTGTCAGGTGGCTGCAAGGTGAAAACACGAATATTTCGAGAACCATCTTCATCATCCTCAGGATACTGAAGTTCGGAGCACCCTGATTACCCTGAGGGTGAAGATGGTTCTCGAAACATTGGTGTTTTTGCCATTCAGCCACCTGACATGGCTGGTATAGCCTGAGAAGAATTCATTGTACTTAGTTGCCATAAAAACTTCAGGTTATACCTTGGCATAATTTTTACATCATATATTCTGATCAAATGACAAACCATCACGTTTTGTACTCTAAATTCTCCACTGTGAGTGACTAAGCACAACATAAGTGTTCGCCAACTATGCTGAAAGTTCACCATAGTACATATTTTACCAAGATCAATATGGTTTCTTTTAAAAATAATTAATTTTGTATTTCATAAATGTTTCTTCTAGCCTCTTCATCCAGACCGGCTCTGGGGCTGTCCCATCCTGTGCAATGGGTACTGGGGTCCTTCTTTGTTGGGGATAGAGTGTGGCTGGGGTATGACACTGACCACTCACCCTCCCTCTAGTGCTGAGGTTTAAGAATGAGTAGGAGTTATAGTCCTCTCCCCCTAAGTGCCTACATGGCATATAACAGGACAGCTTTACCATTTTTTTTTTTTACTTTTTAATGTATTTCATTGTTATGTGCTCTTTGCAGCTTCTAAACTTACAAGAAACCATCAAAATCTATTAAATACTCATTTTGGGTTATTCCTATGCATTTAATTTGTTATTTGGGACATTTTTTCATTTAACACATTTTTTGATAATGTAAACTTTATTTTAATTTTATTAAAATTTTACAACGTTTTTTCAGA